GACATAATCTGCAGCCCATTGGTTCTTTTCTTTATTGACATTGGGCTGACCCTATCACAAACTTTTATGTTGGGCTCTGTGTAACGTAGGTGTGTATTTGTCAAAATAGTTGAGTCACGCCGGGATTTCTTACGCGCGGGATAGCAGAAGCGGAGACCGGAGAGCAGGCTTTTTTGCCTTTAGCGGCTGCACTCTGCAGCATGCAGGGGGGCACAGATCGATACATTCATGTCTATCTAGTTACCTATTTGTCCATATAAATATACTTTTTTAAAAACTTTTCATCTGCACCACGGCCCGCGGCAACTTCCTCCTATGCTGTTTCCTTAACCTTCAAGTCTTTATTTTACAAATTATAAAGAATGTCTACTTCTCAAGCTCTGAGGAGTGTCATTCATGTATTTTAAGATGCACTCGGTCAGAAGACAAACACATGAGATATCATGAGATTGTGTTTTTGATCGTCAGCATGATGTAGGCTTATAGTGACAATATTTATACAATATGGTTTTAATGATACTTATACATGACCAAACTAGTGTGCAACTTAAGCAACTTTTTTTTTTTACATTTAGTTTTGTAGTTCGTGACCAAACAAATATTTGTTGCATTTTTTAATTGTTTAAGTTTATTTGATTGACAATGTAAAATCTTTCAGCTACGTTTGATGTTTCATTGAGTTAAAAAAAAAAATTTTAGGGTCTCTGATACATTGCTTTTATTATTTATCTTTATTTTATTAATCAAAATTAACTGTGCGCATCAACAGGCAGTTTTTGTCATGTTCATTATTTATTTGCCTCCCTCAAAACACGCAGGTACACGCATTTCCAGTGTGGATTATAATTTTATTATAATAATAAATAAATAAGTTTTTAATTTCTCAACTTTTGTTATTTCCTATATATGGCTTTTGTGCTTTTATAGATTGGGAGTTGGTAAACATATTCACGGGAATGCACAGATGGGGAGCATTTTGATTGATGTAGTGGGCCGCTCTGGCCCAAAATGCCAGGGCCGATTTTTTTTTTTTGTCCCAGTCCAGCCCTGCAATGAGTACAGTTGTTTGTATTCAATACTTAATTATTATTATTATAATTTTCAATATCTGTAATACCTGTATTTGGCTTTTTTTTTTTTGCAGTCCACTTAGAATCCAACATGGAAATCAATGTTTTCTTTATTGGCATTGATCGTTTTGAAATTCAAATGGCATTAACATGCCTGTGTTTTTATTTCTGTAATGAATATGGCTGTCAAGCCAGGATCTTGATGGTCTATTGTGTGTATGTTGTTTACATGAAGAAATCTGTGTTACAAAAATTCTAATAATGAATTATACTTTGAAATTAAATAGTATTTGTCTTGCGTTTACATTATTTTAGATTTGAATAGCCAAAATGACAAGTTTCAGTCTTTTAAATGCGAGTTAAATTAATCGTGATTAATATTTTTTTTAAAAGTGCGATTAATTAGTTAATTTTTTTAATCGATTGACAGCACTAATATATATATATATATATATATATATATATATATATATATATATATATATATATATATATATATATATATATATATATATATATTAAGGTGGTAACGATCCACATATTTGTATTGAACCGTTTGGTACTAGACTTTCGATTTGGTACGCATTACAATCCAAACGATTCGATTCAAGACTAATTTCTAAAAAGATAAAAGAAGCACAAAATATAATGTTTTCAGTGCTGCAACGCTCAACATGGCATCCTAAATGACATGCCAGACAACATGCTGCCTTCCCCGCTGTTAAACAGAGTAGAACTCAAAATATCACTTTATTAAACATGCACTCAATTGCAATCTTGCTGCCTTCTGTGTCAGCCTGCTTGTGCTGGCTCCGCCCCCATTGCCCCGGCAACCCTGGACCCCGACACACAACAGCCAATCTCAATAACCTACCTGTTTACATATCACCACACCCGCCACCTCCAAACACAACTCCTGTCAGGCATGTGTTGCACTAGTTTGCAAAATGGCTAGTAATGTTAATGTAATCCTCCTACAGTCCTTTTACTTGGCCGCTGCATGGAGGGCGACCAGCATCTTCAGGCAGAATGTTTAGAACTTCCGTTTACAGCGTTTAAAACTGATTATTTGCGCTTCAAAAACAGGGTTTCAGTACCATTTTGAGTGGATTACGGAGTGTTTTTGTGACACAACTTTGAAAAGTGTGTGTTAAAGCCATTATAAACTGTCAGATGTAGTTCAAGCACGAGAGAAAAAAAGTTCTCATAGTTCACGTGTCCGCCATTACAAATACAGTTTCCCCCACACACACGCACGCACAAGCACACACAAACATACGTTAATACTTAACTGCATTATAGTGGAATGGCATGAAACTTAATAGGTATAAGTCATGCAATTTACAAAAATGATCAATAAAAGTACATTATTAATACTCTGCTGGCTGATTTGCTGTTGATTCTAATGCAGGGCTCGAAATAGCGACCATTTTGGTCGCATATGCGCCCAAAATTTGAGCTTTGCGACCTCATAATATATATTGGGCGCATTCGTGCGACTGAATATTTAGGTTGGAGTGCGACCTGTTTTTTTTTTTTTTTTTTTTTTTTTAAACATGGTAAAATCGCTCTTCCCTGCCGCTATATTGGTTCATATTAGCTGTCAAACACTCAAGACTTTCCGCTGTCAGATGATAGGGAGGGAGCTTCTGTGACCGCGGGGAATGCAAACTGCTGAAGAGTGAAAAGTACACTGAATCTCGATGCGTTGCATGCACTGCGTGTGCTGCCAACACAATCTCACGGCAATTCGTAACTTTTTCATACGTTTCCTCGTGAGATCAGGCTGCAACAGCGCAAATGTTCGCTAAAACACCATCGCCAATGAAGCTTGCCTTTACTGCGTTTAAACTGATGCGGGTTATAACAAAGAACAGTATAGCGCCGGTGGTCATTGGGAGAATCCTGCTCTGCCCCCCTCATATATTGGGTCGGCTGACTAGCATGCTTTTCCACAAACACAGAAAAATGTAATTCAGCGCGTAACGAAGCTGAGCATTAAAACGACACGAACCGAAACCAAAACTTTTAAAAGTGAGACTTTTCTTACTTTCTTTTGTCCATTCTTTCTTGAGGTGTATATTTTTCTATTTAATTACTGATGACTGCTTTGCAGCTTTCAGCATTGAATTTAATCAATTTATTATATTATATCGTTTGTTTTGTAGCAGAAATAGGCTACTATTTATTAAATTGACATGCATATAAACATAATAGTACAAAACAAATATTTCTTACTACAATGCTTCATTTGTGTTTGATGCAAACAATAAATTTATTTTTCATAAAGTAACAGTAGGACTTTATATAGCAGATAACTTACATTAAAGCACATTCAAGGCAGCATGATGATGAAAAATATATTTCATTATTAGTATTATTGTCATCATCGTCATCATTAATATTTTATAATTATTCAACATTCATTTTAGAATTATTGCACAAATATTAAATCATCACAGCATTAGTTAGATAGTTGTTTCTGTATTTTGTTAGTCCCAATTGATGTTGTTTTCAAATACAATAAATCCTTTAATATACAACTTGTCAATATTATACATTTTTGGTGGGTGCTCCTAAATTTTTTCTGGTGCTCCTAAATATTTCATGTTGGGAGCACCTGTGCTACCAAGTAAGAAAGTTAATTTCGAGCCCTGTAATGGCTTTCGTTCAAAACAAATCAGAGAGGCGATCGGTACACTTATAGCTGTGGATAAGAGAAACCTTAATCGGTAGTGGAAATTTCGGGTTTAAACAAAATATTAAATGTAATTGAGCCCCGTTATGTTATTCCTTCATAAGCCCATTTCAGTCTGATAATTTCTACTTTCAGATCCACTGAAATCGCAGGTGACAGTCAAATCAGGCAGGTCTTTGCTGTCTGAAGAAAAGGACACTTATCTTTCTGAAAATAAAAACAAAATCTAATAAAAATAGATTGAAACCGATTTCTAAATATAAACTAAATTGTTTCTTTTTATTTGTTTAACTACTACAATATTACATTTATTTTTTATAGAAAGCTTTTTGGTGTTGAGTATGAAGAAAGATTTGTTTTATTTGCTGCTAAGCAGAAACCCCAGAAGTATAGCTCAATCACTGTTTAAAGTAAAAGAAAAAAACGAGATAATACTTTAATGATGTTAGTTCTAATACATAAAAATTTAAATCAGAGAAATCCTCTGGCTTTTTTCTTTTTTTGCTGTATCGAAAACATACCGAACCGTGACACCACTGTGTTGTATCAAATCGAACCATGATCTTTGTGAAAGGTTACACTCCTAATATATATATATATATATATATATATATTAGGAGTGTAACGTTTCACAAAGATCATGGTATATATACATACATATATACACACACACATACATACATACACATTCATATACATACATATATACACACAGTTAAACTAGCCCCTCTCAATTTTTAGACCCCTATACTTATACATACACACACACACACACACACACACACACACACACACACACACAGACACACAGACACACAGACACACAGACACGGATGGATGGATGGATTCAATGATCCATGCTAACCTAAGATAAAAGTTTTCCTGTCAGACTTGGAGATCAGCTAAATGGACAAAAATGGTTAGACTCAGCTTATCAACATAAGGGATTTGCAAAATTAGACTCTTTACAAAAAAAACTGTATTGTCACAGTCAAAAAAAATCTAATTGACTTGAAAGAATACAAAACAATTACCATGCTATTTGTAAAAATAATAACAGGGTGTTGCTTAGGTAAGAGTCCAAAAATAACTTATAATATTATATTAGCTTTAAAAATACTACATTAATACCACTGATTCATTTTATGTGTCAGCCATATAGTTACTTATGTGAAGTATGCAAGTTTAAGTAAAAAGCAGTAACATCTTGGTGAGTATTCATTTTAACTTACCCCTCTGGAGAAGACTCTGGGCTGTGGAGTCTGAGTCTTGATAGCTCCCATTATACAGGAAACCTGTAGAGACAATTTAAAAAATTGCATGAACCAGTTCCTACTAGGGCTGCAATATATATTGTCACATTATTAGTGTATGCATATGATAACTTAAACTTTATATCTTTTCAACACCATTTCAAATTAAACTCAATGCCAGCTTCGTACCCATTCCGACAGAAGTATGAGGGGAAAATGTCAAATCTGTATACATTTTGAACCCTAGAAAGTGGGCTACTTGAATTAAATAAAACATTTTATTTAAACTATCAGTTATGTTTAATACATACGCATAAGTGTGATTGTACACTTAGTAGCGAATATGAAGGTAAAACTGCTTACTTTTCGTCATCTTATTGAGACTCTTGCCAAACATTAGTCAAACTTAAATGTTGCTTTAGTCATTCTAAAATGTCTTAACTGATTCAGTATTAGTGTATGTAACTACTTCCGAGTGTCTGGAGCGTGTCAAGAGTCTCCGCGTCTCATGGCTTCAAATGCCCCCACGTTTTCATTGTGTGTCAGCATTGTCTTCTGAGGGGCAAGTACATTTATTAAATAAAGAAATAATTGATTCAGCTTCTTCTACCACAGAAAAAAAACTGCTTTTACTGTTGATATTTGGCGCCAGTTAATCAGGAAGTGACGATTTTGTTCTCTTTGACTCGTTGGATGGAAACGCTGCTTTATTCGCATCTTTTATGCAATATTCCAGTTTTGCACATAAATTTATGTAATATATTTGGATGAAAGCATAGATATTGACAACATTTTAGTCACACACAAAACAAAGTCCTGTACGAGAATGGCTTTTCCTTTTTTAATAAATAATTAGCTTAAATTCACTGACCTTCAACATGTAGCTACTGTTACTAGATTAATGGGATTATTATTCTTTCTAAAAATTGTTTTTAGTACTGCTTACCTTCTAAATGTTGTATCAACCTATAGTCACAGTGTGTACTCTTAACTATAAGTTGGTCTACTCAAAGTTGATTGACCTAACTCAGATTAGCTATTCTGAAACCAAAGTGACCTGCATATTGGCAGTATTTCTGGTTTCGACTGAACGAGAAGGGAGACGTAGTAAATATGAACTAGAGGTCTGAATTAGAGCTGAAGATCTTTGCCTGAACCCGGCGAGTCTCGAAAAAAATCCAAATCCCTGCATTAAAATTTATTCCTGCATTACGGTAGAGTGCTTAACCGCAAGCTGACAGGTAAAAAGACGGTGACTCTCTACATTGATACTGCTGTCATGGAAAATTAAATGGATGTTTCTGTCTGGTAGAAGATGAACAAACAATCCTACACAACACTTGCAAAAGTAGCCAGATCAGAACTCTGCATCTCGGCCTGTAGCAGCAGTGAAAGAGTTTTCAGTCAGTGGATTCAATAATGTTCTCCACAAAAACACATAGCCTAATCTTGGTGAGTAAAGGGTTTTTAAAATTATAAATTAATATTAATTAAACCATAAAACCATAATGTAGACAGAGTATACAGGCTAATGGTGGCATTATTCTTTTAATATTCAGCTTCACCGTCACCTTAAGGCCAGATTGTGAAGAGAAGGGGCGAAACAAATTTTGCACAGCCTTCATCATAATTTCGTTATTGCCAAAATACCCGTCATCATTTAGAATTTATTTTAATTTTATTTGTTAAGCAAGACTTATTTTCATTGGTGTGGTGGCCAATTTAAAGGCTAAGTGTATGTGCCCAGGCCTATTTAGAGTGCTGAGATGTTACAATGTTAAAGAGGACTTATTTTATTTCTTTGTTTCGACTTCCAAGTGTCATAGAGTCTATGTTTGTTACGAATAAATTATGTAAAAACATATAAATGACTCATTCTTGAAAAAAGGCAAAAGAGCTGCGTGCATGAGCACATTTGTATAATGTCGGCCTGTAAACGGGTTCGGCTTTTAAAAAGCTGTCAATCAAAATGTACCTGTCGGGCTCGGGCCCCATCGGGCGTAATTTTTATGGCTCGATTACAGCTCTCTGCGTTCACGCTGCAGTACCGTGGGAGCCGACCAGATTTCTTGCTGTGCGGGAGTAAATTTCCGAATAAATCGCGGAAGCGGTCAGTAACTCTGGTGTTATTTGAAAGTGAGCGAGCAATGCTTTCTCTCTATGTGTGTGTGTGTGTGTGTGTGTGTGTGAATAAGTGAGAGAAGAGAGAGAGAGAAGAGAGAGAGAGAAGAGAGAGAGAGGTGTTGTCTGACACATGGCTCTCTCTCTCACTCTGTGTGTGTGTGTGTGTGTGTCTGTATGCGAATGAGAGGAGTATCCCGAGCAGAAGAATACAAATAAGACAAACAGGTGACCGTGAACCTAAGGTTGCATAAAAGTATTCAGTTTCTGAATAGTTTAGGCACAAGAGAACAGTTTGGTGACGCTGTTTGAGACTTGCGTCATATATTTTTTTTGTTTATTATGCACAGTAATATCGGATGCCGGGGTAAAATATGGAGGAGGTTTGAAAGTTTCAAAATTTGGATACTGCCCAAGCGAAGCTGCAACTAACGATTACTGTAATAATCGATTTAACTGTTGATTATTTATTTATTTTTACCCTTTTACTGGTGAGTTTAAAATATTCTATCTTGCCCGGGAGTTTTAGAACATTCACCATTAATGTTTCCGTGGTGACGCATCATGTTTGTCAGGTGACACATTAAGTATTAGGCGGTTAAAACGATGAATAATTGTGATGACACGTCTTTCTCAGTGGAGTTAAGTTGGTTTTGTTTTTGAGAAAAAAAAAAAATAGGGATGCACGATATAACGGTGGCCATATCATTATCGGCCAAAAATTGCTATTTTTAAGATTAGCGTTATCGATCTGATGTCTAAATTAGGCCAATATCTTTAATAGGGGTGTAACAATATTAAAACCGAACCGAAATATCGCGATACACCAACCACGATACGTATCGCGAAACTCTCGTGGTGTACCGCGGTACTCTCACGCCCCCTGCTGCCTATTGTTAAGGTTGACGTCACTTGTCTCTAACTAATTGAACCAATTTAAACACATCTTTATTATATTTGATTAAATTGTTTTAGTAATGAGAATTTGTTCTAAAAATTATATTCTAAAGTTAGTATTTTAGTGCATGTTATGTCATGTGACTTGAGTAAGCATCACACTCGTTACTACTGGACGCAGGATGGCTGCTTCACATAGTACTGAGATTGCAGATCCCCCAGACACATTTAAGTCATCTGTGTGGAAACATTTTGGTTTTCCAGTTGAGTACAGGAAGAGAATTCGTGTCGTAGACAAAGCGCACGCCTGTCTGTCTCAACTGTTTCACGAAACTTACTTGTAAGGAAAAACATTTAAAAAGTGGGGTAATTTCACAATGTGAGGGTGTAAGCAACAGAACTGCCAACAAAAGTGATTTATTGTACAAAAGTAAAACCAGAATAATGCCCAAATATACAAAAAAAGAGAAATATTTACACTAATAAAAATAATATAATAAAGTAACAAATTCAAACAAAAGTATCAAACAAAAATTTGTTAAACTCGAGCAAGGAGGTAATAGTGAAGACAAACAAAAGAAATAAATATAATAAAACAATTCTAACCTCGCTAAAACTGATGAAAAGAAAAAGGTCTTCAGCGCCGTGTGCCAAATTCTTCCATATACTGAATAAAATAAACAAAGATGACCTTCACTTCTTACCTGATGTCTTTAACAATACATTTTCTACATGTTTGCAAAATGGAAATCGTATGACATTTTCCCTATCCACCTTACACTAAGACTGAACTTGAGGAGATGCAGCTATATTGTCGGGAAGGAGCTGAGCTAAAAAATAATATACAAATCAATTGAAATAAAAATGTACAAACCTCACAAAATTTCTTAAAGTGGGCAAAAGTAATGCAAAATAATTTTACCCAAACGAAAGTTAAGCAAAAACAACGAAAATCATAATCATGTCAGAAAAATACACGAAAAACGAGATCAAAGGAAAAAGCGCTCTCTCTCCCGCTCTTCCTGACATGCTTTTTACATTTGTGCGCTGCGTCGCCAAATGATGATAGATCGGTCTCCTGACCAATCAGCTGTCAAAAAGGCGGACCTACATAAATGACAGGCATCAGCTGTCGTGAAGGCGGACCTACAGTACATAAATGACCGGCATAGAGGGAGCGGGAGAGAGAGAGTGAGAGATCGGGAGGCAAACATACAGCCGGCTACAACCCTAACATTAGTTTCAGACACAAAAGCAATGTATTTTACTGGTGAATATGTCATGTAAAAACACTACAAACACAGTATATGTATATTTTTCATTAATTTAAACGGAAACCTATCTATCTAAATGAAACCATATAATAAAAAATGAGCGTCTGTGTCTGCACAGAGATCAAGCCTCTCATCGGAGAATGTGGATATTATGGTGTAGATCTTTCACTAGTCTACACTGCAGTTATTTATTTAATTTTAGTTTACTTAGTTAAGATGGCTGCACTAAAGAGAATAGTTTTTTTTTTCTGACTAGTCTATATTGGAGGTATTTATTTAATTCTAGTTGTTTACTCAGGTATCCTGACTGTACTAAAAATGCAATGACAAAGTTAATAAAGAAAAAGTTAAGATGTTCTTGTTATTAAGTGAATTGTCCCTTAGCATTGCTGTTAACATGCACTCTCAGAAAAAAAGGTACAAAATTGTACCTTTTAGGGTACAAATGGCCCGTCACTGGGGTGGTACCCTTAAGGGTACAAATTTGTACCTCTATTTAAAGGTACAAAATTGTACCTTCTACATTTGTACCCTTTAAGGGACAATTTTGTACCCCCACCGAAGGTACAAAAATGTACCTTTTTATATTATATAGCATTTTCAGGGTACTGACCCAGGCATTTTGATCCTTTGGTGACTGCATGCACAAATAAATAAATAAAATATTTTGGTTCGCAGATGTCCATTTTTATTTATTAATGTAGAAATATTTCATTACAACTCACAACTGAATGTGTCAAGAAATAAAATTACACAGTAAATATAAAGCAGACATGTAAAACAGTAAAAAGAACAATTTAGAAAGCAAATAAAAATTGTTCACTCACTGTACAGTTTATAATCTACCCTTAATACAAAGACCACAAGAAAACTATTTAAGATTTATAAACACATTACACAGGCTACATCAAGTACTGCACTTTATAAAGTCCAAAGTATTTGTCTTTAGTCAGAATACTCGGTCATAATAAATAATTTGTCATCAACATTTTCTCTGAATTTCAGAATGAAGGCAAAGTTTCTCTATAAATTGCTTCAACAGTGCAGAAAACCAAATACATCAGTAGCCTCTTCCTCAACACCAGTAGATTACTCCTCATCATCCTCAAGTGGAGTTGTAATTTGTTGTAACACAATATGTGTTTATGCTTTTGATAAACATGACATGTAAAGCACTCATATCTGGAAAATGTTCTTTGATAGTCATTAGGACCACAAGTTATTTAAAAATTTGCTTTATGCATGAATGAGAGCAGTGTGCTGGATTAACTTGATGATTGTGATTATCCCAAGAGCATGTAGAGAAACAAAAAACAAGGTTGATCACTTTGGTAACTGGAGTAGATCCAGGCTTGTCACCGTCCACCGTTCATTCAAAACATTCCACTGCAGAAACATCAAGGTGATCTTCTAATAAGATGGATATGTCAAAAATGTATATTCATCCACATCATTAGCCCGGCCAATCGCAATCCCATCAACTCTGAAGACTGCCGTGACTCGTCTTGTTAACACAGTTGTCCAGTCGGCGGCCTCCTCCTGTACTTGAACTGTTGGATGTGGTGAAGATGATTCACTGTAAATGACAAAGCAATAATTACATTAACATCAGTCACTCTATCACTGATGAAGAGAAAATCAACATGCATAGAAAGTAAAATAATTAATATTTACTGATTAAAAAAAATATATATCACAGATTAAAAGACTAATATAAATTTCATTCATTCATTCAATTTCTTTTTGGCTTAGTCCCTTTATTAATCTGGGGTCGCCACAGTGGAATGAACCACCAACTTATCCAGCATGTTTTATGCAGCAGATGCCCTTCCAGCTGCAACCCAGTATTACGAAACATCCAGACACACTTATTCACACACACATTTATACACTACAGACAAATAAGCTTACCAAATTCAGCTATAGCGCATGTCTTTGGACTTGTGGGGAAACCGGAGCACTTGGAGGAAACCCTCACGAACACTGGAAGAATATGCAAACTCCTCACACAAATGCCAACTGACCCAGCCGAGGCTCGAACCAGCGACCTTCTTGCTGTAAGGTGACAGCACTCCCCACTGCGTCATCCTAATATAAAGAATATCAAGCATTATAAAATGCATTTATCACAGCATATACTAAACAGAAAACAACATACACACCTGAGCACAACGAAATGTTGAAGTGTCTCGCTTAACAAGGCTGGCAACATGAGAAGTGCTGTTGTAAAATCAATTCCTGGAACATAAGATGTGGCATACAAACAAATATGAAGGAATCCATCCAAAGCTAGAATTTAATAATATTAATCAAGAGGAGAAAGTTTAGAAAGAGTACCTTAGAGTCAGATCCATAGCATTCTTCAGTTGATCTCTCATCTTTCCATGAAAACCTAGAAAATAATTTTAAACATGTGGGTGTACATTTATTGTTGTTTGTAAGTAAAAACCTACAAATTTAAAATAGTATGTAAGCCATTAAAACCATGGTATAGATAATGAGACATACTTACATCTTGTAACTGAGCCATGCTTTCATATGACTTGCCTTCATTGGTCTAATGCTGTTAGCCTGCATTATGTTGTTCAATCTTGTCCTGAAATACAATTGGAAACTTCATAAACTTCAGGAAAGCAATAAGATAAAGCAATAACTATTTATTTATAGTATTTTATTTATATATAAGTATAACGTTAAACGATAGTAAAGCACCAACAATTCTGGACATGAGAGTTTGTGGACACTCCTCAACATTAATGTAACTTAGACACTGAAACGAAGATATGTACAAGCATACACACGCCACGTTTGTAACTAGCCACGTTTACATAATCAGTCGCTTTGCCGGTGACAAAATTGTGATTTTTCTTCACAAAATGGCGGTGTATATAACCGTCTAAAATTACATTTCCGCGGTCAACCGTGGCTAGAAAATGGCCTCAAAATATAAAACATTATCGATAATTACAAATTCCAGTATTAATAACAAAAGGTTTTATATCAAGGTATATGAAGACTTCAGTCACGCCAGCTCCGGGCCACACCGCACATTACTCACGGCCCGATTCCGGTGCACGGTTACGGCAGCGTCGGCTCACTTCTGCCGCCGCATCTGGCCCGAGTAACAATACAGCAGACGGACTCGGGCAGGCGAGAATCTAGCCGCAACTGGCCCAAGTGTATTTTGCTATCTGGGTTGCGATTATATTCCGCCGTGGCAACACTTATTAATAAAGCAGTAACGTAACGTAACATATAAGGCGCGAATACGTAACGTAGGCGATAAAGGGAACTTTTACACCGAGAAAACTAACAGCATATAGTACTTACCTTCTATAACGTTATGTCCCTCGGTGACTTCGATATCACGTTGTATTAACTTCTTTAATAAGCTGCAGACATCTTAGCAAACTCCATCCTGCAGGCCAACGTAACGTTAACGTTACACCAGCCAGCCCGGAGCACAAAGCGGGGGAAAGCCGAGACCAGAGAGTCAGACAAAATCAACAGAACACGGCTTCACATGTAAAAATGAGACTGAAAATATCTTTAATACGTTCTTACCTGAAAAGTGTGGATTCCAAAATAGACTTTTCTTTGAAAAGCGTGCGAAGTTCTGTGTAAACAGCCAGCATACTCGACCAATCGCCTCAGTAACAAACACTACTATAACGTCTCAACAAGCCAAATTCTTAAAGAGACAGCAACATCACCACCTGTATGAAGATGCTGTCCCTCTGCATGGTTCTTATTCTACATCCCATATATACTATAGGGACTTAAACAGTAAGCAAAGACCAGTATTTACGTTTTTAATGATTAAAATTACATTTAATTATAAATTAAATTATTAACATTTTTGAGAAAAAATGTAATTTAAATACATGAAAAAAAAATTATTATTAAAATATAAAAATAATTCAATCAATTTATTTATTTATAATTTTTTTAAATTATGTATTTTAGTATTAATGTTTAGTATTAATACATTTAAATTAGTGTTATATAGTGTCTTGATCTTATCATGAGCTGAGGGTACAATTTTGTTCCTATAGGGAAACAAAATATATAATTGTACCTTTAAAGGTGCCAAATTGGTCCTTTACGGTACAATTTTGTATCCAAATGTGCTATAAAAGGTACAAAAATGTACCTTTCAAACCTAAATCTGGACATTTGTACCTTTATAGCCCATTTGGGTACAAAATTGTACCCTAAGGACCAATATGGGACCTTTAAAGGTACAATTTTATATTTTGTTCCCTCTAGGAACAAAATTGTACCCTCATTGTACCTTTTTTTCTGAGAGTGTGACATCAACCCTAACCCCACAGCAAACAGAAACCGAACCGTACCGTGGCTCCAAAACCGTGAACCGAACCGTGCCTTTTGTGTATCGTTACACCCCTAATCTTTGAGCCGATAAATTATATAATTGTACAGACCTGTCTGCCTCGCGGCTCGTGCACACCGTGCACTCTTCACTCTGTTTATTCCTTCAAAGTCCGTCCTTTGTCCATGTGGAATTACTGTGTGTTAATAACTCAGTAAGTAACCATGTTCCTTATCCTTGTAGATATGTTTGATTGAGTTTCATTGTGTATTTTGCTTCAAATCGCCTCAGGAAAAAAATATTTCATGTGTAAACCTTTCCTGCTCTGTCTCTTTGTTGTGTTAGAGATAGCAGGGGAGATTCACTTATTACTCCAGGGCCGAACAACATTAGCTTAGGTTAACTCCCTTCTCTTATAGTTGCAGCTGGTGAATAAGCGAGGATATGTAACTTGGTGCAAATTATTTATTAATCTCTGTGTGGTACATCAAAATAAGTCACCAAAGAGGGAAAAATCCCTGAAAACAGTCCCTTCAGAAAACGCTCCCTTTTTGTCTCTCCTCTCTGCTTCACACACACACATATATACACACCAGGGTTCAACGCTAAGGATTTTTTCTACTGGCCCGATCAGGCCAGTGGTTCTGATTTTTACTTGCCCGGCCAAAATTTTCACTGGCCCAACCTAAAAAAAACCCTATTTGACTGTGTGTGTGTATGCGTGTGCGTGTGTGTGTGTGAAAGGCTTAACGAGGTTAATTAGGTTAACTAGACAGGCTATGGTAATTAGGCAACTTATTGTATAACGATGGTTTGTTCTGTAGACAGTCTGAAAAACAATTAGCTTAAGGGGCTAATAAATTTGACCTTAAAATGGTTCATAAAAAATTAAAAACTGCTTTCATTCTAGCCAAAATAAAACAAATAAAGACTTTATTCAGAGAAAAAAATATGATCAGACATACTATCAACATTTCCTTGCTCTGTTAAACATAACTTTAAAAAAAAGAAAAAAAAAAAACTAAGTGGGGCTAATAACTCTGACTTCAAGTGTATATATATTTACAGTAATTTTTGAAATGTTTTTAAGGAAAATTATTCAGTTAATCAAGGCTACATTTATTAAATGTAAAATAAATTAAATTGTTAAATATTCATCAACATTTTAAATAACTGCTTTCTTATTGTATGTAGTTTCAAATAAAATTATTACTCCAGACATTATTGCTTTTATTACTATTACCATTAATAAATATAATAATAATTAATATTAGTGATTTCTGAAGGATAATGTGACTGGAGTAATGAAGCTGAAATTTCATCTTTAAAATCACTGGAATAAATGAATAAATTAAATGATAAAGTACTTTTGAACAGTTATTTTATGCAACATTTCACAATTTGTATTTATGATGAAACATTTGCAGCCTTGGTGAGCAGAAGAAGCTTAGTTTAACATATATAACAATCATACTGACCCCAAACTTTTGACCAGTTGTGTATAGAATATTTTATAAGCTAAAATGTGAACTTTAATTTTAACAACCCACAGACATCGTCACCAAATACAAATCAGAGAGGTCAGACTTTCTTATACAGAGCCACATTTCAATTGTCAGGTTTTGTAAACCGAGATCAGGCTGGATAAACAGCTCTCTGTAATATTTCAGCATGCTTTCACTTTCGCATTTACCGGTAAGAATGACAGCTCGCCCTGCTCATCTCTCTTCATATAGCCGTATATATGGCTAATACACAATCATAATACACTGTGACATAGCCTGGGTGGTTAGTTTCGTTGCATTGTTTTGTTTTCTCACTACAATCGATCCGCTCAATAGGGCAGGGACCATCTCATTCAGGTGATCTCGGACTGATGATTTGGCGCGGATGCGAGCACTGAGCGCAACTGCTAGATATATGCCAAACAAACCGCGCTAACGGGGGAAACAAGACAGATTCTGAAACAAACGTCTATGTGTGAAAGCACCGTAAGATTGTATTTGCACACAATTGACAGACAGTCGCAGCACGCAGCTCTGGCTCGATCTGGCAGGCAAAAAGGCAGCACTGGCCCGATCGGGCCAGTAACATTCTGTACACTGGCCCGAGTGTCTCGCACGCTGGCCCCGGGCCATCGGGCAGTCCTTATTGTCGAGCCCTGCACACACACACCAAACCCCCTGAATCTGAACTAACCCCCTGAATTAATCTAATATGATTATTTGTTATTATCAACGCGTTACTTGCCATTTGTTGTTGATGTAAGATTGTATTCAGTTTGATCGGAATATTCATATTGATTATAACGTGTGTGCCTGAAAACAGTCACTGCGCAAACACACATGCACACACACCCCCACGCGCACACACACGCATATCAATCTGACAGCCTTCTCAGATAAACTGGGGAGAGCCTAGGTGTGCCAGTCACTGAATACAGCATACAGGCTCTCAACTCGCCACACATTCTGTCTTTATATTCTGCTCTGTGTTTGTCATAAAGTCATCTGAACTCAATGATCAGGTGTTGAAACAAAATCTGACTCCGAGGGCAAATCTGTGCCTGCAGTTGAGAGAAACTCACGTTTTATCATAAGCTTTTCATTGAACATTTTCCCCGCGATTGACAGCAAGAATGAACACAGAATAGTTGTCTGATTGAAAAGCAGCAGCTACACGTGTTCAAAAGAATCTAAAACTCAGGAGTCACGTGACGCGGTTGAAGTGGATGGCAGCATAGTTTAACACCACTCGTAGCAGCACAATTTATTTATCCTTTAAGATAATCCTGCAGTGGCCAACTCGACAGATTTTAGTTTCTAAGAAGTTAGGAAGAGTTTGAGGTACAGGAAAAATGTCTTGTAGACCAAATACGGTATAATCGAGCATTAAAAAGGCTCTGAGAGGTGGCGATACAGGCCAAAAAGGCACCGGAGATGACAGCGCAACAGTTCATCCACCAGACACAGACAAACTCCCCGCAGCCAAAGGCAATGTCGCAGAGGACATCGCGAGTATATTTAAAGAGCCCATATTATGGGTTTTTGAAAATTCCCCTTCATGTAGTGTGTAACACAGCTCTAAGTGAAGTGAAGTGAAGTATCCAGCTAAGGCTTAAATCGGTAAGAGTACAGTGTTTAAAACGGTTGATTCATCTATAAAAGAGTCGACTCATAGTGCTTCAAACGAGTCGCCTTGATACCGAGTCATTAGGTGTTTCGCCATGACGTACGAACGAAACCAAGTTATTCACGTGCACGCGCAAACCCGGGAGATTTCAAACCTGAGGCCCCGCCCTCTGACACAGTAACGCATACACACACACACACCCACAAACACACGCACACAAACATGCCGGTCGATTGAAGTCACACTGCAGATAGATATTATCGAGCCTCTATCCAAAGATGAAACCTTAGCATAATAACCAAGCAGTTGGAAACTGCTGGAAACTTCTGCAAACTACATGCTACAAAGAATACATCATCGGCGTTTGTTAAAGGAAGGATCAGTAAAGAGTAACTTACTGATGGACGTCAGGATGGGTTTCTTCCTCCATTTCTCAAGTGTAAGTACAAGCGATTAAAGTTGTTGCCTCGTTTACTCTAGCTTGCAAATGTATTTAGTTGTGATTTATTACTTGTAACCGCGTGTACTGTATCAGGTTAACTGGCTATATTCTCTTATCGCGTGTAAAGTCACGCGACGCGTGCTGCTTTGTTTACGCAGCTCCGTGGACGAGGGTAGTGTGTGTGTGCGTGCGCTGTCGTCTGGAGGTATGTGTGTGTGTGTTTGTGTGTGTGCGTGTTGTCGCCCGGAGGTCTGTGTGTGTTTTTGTGTTTGTGTGCGCGGACGATGGCAATGTGTGTGTGTGTGTGTTTGTGTCTGTGAAAAGAGCAGAGTGAGACAAGCTTGGATATCTCCTCGAAAGTTTTTGCTCAATAAAATAGTTAATCGTCTGAATTTTCAAGTCCATCAACTGTATTTACATTGACCCACTGGCAGCTAAAATCCACGCCTACATTATCGAGCTCGTATGAACTGTGATTACTTTTATATTGCTGATTAGCTGTTGTGCATTTTACTCTCTGACTGAAGGCAGTCGACCAATCGCAACAGGCTGTCATTGGTCCAATCAGGGCAGATTAGCTTTGCGCTAAGGAGAGGTTTGGGAACAAATGAATCACTGGACGATTCATACAGGAGTCGCTGGGATAATTAGGTAAAAATAAATGCAGATTATGAGACCATGAAAGTGTTTTTTGACCTTGCATGCATATTAGACTGTTGTTGGAGACCCTTACAAGCAAGATATGACCCTTTTTCATGTATAATATGGGCTCTTTAAAATATTGAAACAAATGGATGAGGAAAGAGAGAGAGAAAGAGAGAGAGAGAGAGAGAGAGAGAGAGAGAGAGAGAGAGAGAAACAAAAGCAACAACAAACCCCCCCACAGGGTGGCAGTGTACCACATTTGAGACCACATACATATATAAAGTGCATACATACACTGTAAAAAAAATCCAGGTTTTCACAACAAGTTACTGTAATTTTTTACAGTAAATTACATTAGTATCCCTTCACAGTATTTAACTGAAAAATTCACAGTAATATATTGTATTCATAATTTTATTGTGAAATTACAGCAGGTAGCATGATTACAGCAAATTACTGTGAAAAGGGCTATATTTTTTGCACGTTAGTTATAGAAATTCAAACCTTTTTTTAACTCAACGTAGAAATTAATACAAATGAACTTTTAACAGATAATAACAGAATGTTATAGCCCCCAAAACTATTTGGTTACCAACATCTTTTTGGTTGTACTGCACCTTTATTTAATTTTATACAGTTAACATAGAATAGGAAATAATATTTAATGAACAACTGTGTGCTTAGCCAAAACATAATAAACTGGAATAAAAAGTAATTAATTAATGAAACTGAAGACTGTTAAACAGCCAACAATTATTTCAATGTCAGGGTAAATGTCTGCTTTAGACGGTTTCATGAGTATTGGGCACCTGTCATCGCCTGGAGGTCACTAATCTCAGAATTAAATATATATATAAATTATTATTTTTTTATCTATATAAATAAACCACAGATTAGAGTTTTAAACAACTACATTCTAGCATGAAAAACCGTTAAAACTTCATTTTCGGACGCATATAGAGCCATCGAAGATGGGGCAATTGTCCCAATGTCTAGCCTGAAGACAGGCGCCTCTCGGCGGATACATGAGTAATGAGCGCCGTTACCGCCTGGAGGTCATAGATCTCCGGTACCGGCAAAACACACTTAAAATTACACACAATCTTTACTAACAATCCACAGATTTGAGTTTTGAAGAACTACATTCTCGCATGAAAAAGCGTTAAAACTTTATTACATAATACAAGCAATATTTATAATATTATGTGCCTTCTCATCCACCATTACAGCTTGATGCAGCTTGGTGCGAAATGAATCCTGGGAGGAAAAAATAATAAATCTCAATACACTCCAAACGAACTTTATTCTTATTGTTGAAGAGATATGTAATATTTTGAATGGCGAAGAAAATAATCAACTTGATATTTCAATCAATATATTACTTTTGCACTGCTTCGGTTCAGGACTCGTGTGACATTGAATCAGATTCAGATATTTTATCAGACGTGTTCATGAGCTCATAGTCATCAACAAGCAATTCGTGTACAAGCAGTACACGAACCAAGCAATATGATGAAATATTAATGAATTATATGTTTGCGTCTTACAATATTATACAAAACGGAATCGTTTTCAGGCGAATTCGACTCTTTACTGTTCACTTAAAGGAGCCGAATTCGACTCTTTACTGTTCACTTAAAGGAGCCGATTCATTGAACAGAACTGACTCGACTCGAACGCAAACAAGCGCCATCACCACAGACATCGCCTGCGTCGTCTCTTCACCCAACGGATTCATCCTCGGTAAGTGTTAAAATATGACTTTTGTCCGTTAAATGATTGTTGTATGTGTATTTCTGTATAGTGCATGTCATTTATCAGGAATTTACCGAGTACTTTAGTTGTACTCGCACGTACAGGGTTTAAGCGCGCCTTTTTTTAAAACAACGCCAGATGGTGATTGTAGTGTTTTCTGAGGTCTTAGGACTTGTGGGGGGAAACCAGAGCACCCGGAGAAAACCCACGTAAACATGGGGAGAAAATGCAAACTCCACAAAGAAAAAAACTCCAACGACCGTGCTACCCACTGCGTCACCGTGATGCCTTCTATGTTACAATAGGGGACTTTTTTCCTCTTCTTTTTCATTAGTCGAACCAAAAACTGTGACCACAAAACCATGACACCGTCCAAACCAAACCAACAGTTTTGTGAACCATCTGACTCCTAATATACATTTAGATTTGTTTATGAGAATTGTATAAACTTGAATCCCCATGCTACGGAATGTGTTATGAAGGCTAATATATAGGGCCACGCTGAATCTGCACATGCAGAAATCCGCAGATTTCTGCAGATTTTCAGCCCATCATTGAGTTTATTTAATTTCTTGTGTAAATGTGTGTGAAGTTACATTTATTCCATTTTTAAATAACTTTTAATTATATTATTGACTGATATGAATGTGTTCAGGCGAAGCAGTTGCACAGTAGGTAGTGCTGTCGCCTCACAGCAAGAAGGTCGCTGGTTCGAACCTCGGCTCAGTTGACATTTCTGTGGGGAGTTTGCATGTTCTCCCTGCGATCGTGTGGTTTCGTCCGGGTGCTCCGGTTTCCCCCACAGTCCAAAGACATGCAGTACAGGTGAAGTGGGTAGGCTAAATTGTCCGTAGTGTATGAGTGAGTGAGTGAGTGAGTGAGTGAGTGTGTGTGTGTGTGTGTGTGTGTGTGTGTGTGTGTGTGTGTGTGTGTGTGTGTGTGTGTGTGTGTGTTGGAAGGGCATCCACTGCGTAAAAACATGCTGGATAAGTTGGCGGTTCATTCCGTTGTGGCAACTGCAGATTAATAAAGGGACTAAGCCGACAAGAAAATGAATGCGTTCATATGATTTATATAAAATACAATTTGAAAAATAATATTTTCTGTCTTGTAGAGATATTATATGACATGCTTTATTTGCCAAATAAGTGGATCTCATTGGATTTTCATTGTAAACATTAAATAAAAGTAAAAAGGGTGTTATTTTTTATTTCAAATAAAATGTATTGTTATAATACTGCCAAAATCATTCTGCATAAATCCACAATTTTTTAAATAAAATTCTGTGCAGAAATAGCAAAAAAAATCCACAGATTCTGTCTGGCCCTACTAATATGAAACAATACTGTTTATACATGAAATATATGTTTATACATACCATAACATCAATATTAGTCACTAAAAAACTACATTTTGATATTTAAAAGACTTATATAAAACTTGGAGGTTATCAAATTATCTGACATTTGATAAGAAAACGTCTAGTATGAATTCTGATTTGCTAGCTTGGAGATCTTCCATCTCTTATCAACATTATACCCCAACTTTATTTTACACTATTATTTAAATAAGCTATCAGAAAGCATTACATCGAAAACACCAAAGTAAGGTACAAGTTTATTTGCATCATCTAACGTTAATGTAATTGCCTTTTACAATATTTCATGTCCTAAAAGAACTTTAAAAAACGACAAGTTACAAAACAAAACGTCTTGATCTAGACACTAGTCCGGTGTTTGTTACTACATTCACAAAGCTAAAATGTCGAGGTGACCTTCAACACCGCCCGGTTGTTCGTTAGTTAGGTAATTAACTGGAGCTAAAGACTGTTTCGCAGTTGAACAAAGAGTCTTAAAAGACTATTCAATGCGGACTATTTCAATGTCCAAGTAAGATTTACTGTTTGTAATGACTACAACATTTAGATAACGAGTTAAAAGCTAACTGAATAAAGGCTGAGATGCGCTTCTTCCGCATCCCGCCTCTATCGAGAATTTATAACGTTAATTTGAAGAGAATTTATAAAAAAAAAACTGATCGCAACCTGAGTTTTACTACCTGAATGTACACAAGTTTGAGCCGTTAAACACAAGAAAACATGACTGATGTGAAGTTCATGCTATACAAGGCCGTTTTTTTGCTTTTTTGGCAGCGTAACTTAAGGGTTTCAGCGTTAAGTATACGCTTGAATCCGCACAGCCTGCTATAGTCTAAAGTCTATAAAATAATTTAAGTTAGTCCTTACCGCTGACCTCCATGCGTTAGCCATCCTGTGTTACCCGGCAGCTACCAACTCAGATCAGCTACCCGATGTATGTACGAGTATCGAGGGTTGCCAGATTTTACCTAGAAATCTGCGTTGTCCCCTTCTTCTTCTTTGGATTTTACCGGCAGCTTGCATCCTTTTTGTTGCATTACTGCCATCTTCTGGTGTTTTATGTCATGCTCTTGCTTTCAAATTCTGGAAATGTGTCCTGTTTCAGTCAACCACATTAAGTGTAATTCCTTGTTAGCTATACAGCATTCAATTGTGTTTTTTCAGATCATGTCCAGTCCTAATTTTATTATATTGTTTCCATTAATATCTTCATAGAGAGATGGTCTCTCCTCTCCTGTTTTTCCCTTTACTTTATACTGACCATTCTATTTTTAATGTCTTTCTGATCCAATCTACTCTACTCTGCCATTCTTTAACTAGAAAGGCCTACTAAAGACTGAAGCAAGCCAGTAAAAAGCTAAGATGATCTCATGTGTGTGTTGGTTAAGCCTTTTTCAAGTGAGGTTGTTTGAAAAAAAATTAAAGTTACTGGACAATACAATAGCATGATTCTATCACGAATTAGCATGATTCTATCACAAATTAGCATGTCGTTAGCATGTTTCTAACATTGATTAACATGTTTGGTATCATGATTCTAGCATGGAATGGATTGGCATGTTTCTAGTACAGGGCTGCTAACTTTTGGTTTTAGCTCGGAGTGAGATTTTTTTGCCCCACCCTATGCCACAAGCTACGCCCTCACACCAAGCCACGCCCCAATTTATATGTGTATATACAAATCATAAATATACTAATTTAATAAATACTTTTTATAAATAATAGTAATATTATTATACAATTATTCTATTCTAAATAAAAGAAAAACTACTCTAAATGTAACTGGAAAACAATGTAAAAACACAGCTGAATTGATTTGTTAAGATCCATTCATTCATTCATTTTCTTGTCGGTTTAGTCCCTTTATTAATCCGGGGTCGCCACAGCGGAATGAACCGCAAACTTATCCAGCAAGTTTTCACCCAGCGGATGCCCTTCCAGCCGCAACCCATCTCTGGGAAAGATTTGTTAAGATCATTTAATAAAACTTTTGTATAAATATATTAATTTCAGGACAGCATGGTGGCTCAGTGGTTAGCACTGTCGCCTCACAGCAAGAAGGTCATTGTTTTAAGTCTCGGCTGGTTGTTTCTGTGTGGAGTTTGCATGTTCTCCCTGTGGTGGCATGGGTTTCCTCTGGGTGCCCCAGTTTCCCGCCCAGTCCAAATACATGAGCTATAGGGGGATTAACTAAATTGGCCTTAGTGCACTAGTGTGTGTGTGAGTGTAAATGAGTGTGTATGGATGTTTCCCAGTACTGGGTTGTGCCTAGAAGGGCATCTGTTATAAACACTTTATAAACACTTGCTGGCATTTGAAGGCATGAGACGCAGAGCGCAGATGCTCTTGATATTGCTGGAGGTAATTATTAATATGGTATACAGTATAATAACACTAATGCTGAAATGGTTACACCATTTTAGATTGACCAAAACAATATTTAAGTTGTTTTACAATGTGCTCAGCCGACTGGTTTGTCCATTTACACACATTTTTATCATCACATAATATCTTATAACAAAATCACATGACTTTTTAATACACATACTGGAATTTGTTCAGTAAAAATAAAAAGGCTTCTGCAGTGTAAAACGTATGCCGGAACAGTTGGTGGTTCATTCCACTGTGGCGACCTCTGAAATAGAGACTAAGCTGAAGGAAAATGAATGAATGAATATTAATTTTATTAGAATGAAATTGTATAGAACACATGGTTGAGAATTAGGTTCAAGTCTAAACTCCTTGCCTTCATCCATCCTTTCTGCTTCATACAAAAAAATCTATTAGGAGCCATACTTAGTCAAAATAATATTATAATCATATTAATAAACTTTTGTTATGATACTAATGAGAGTGAATCCATCCCTTACAGAAGATTACAAAAAAAGCGTTTAACTTGTTTTTGGTTATCCATCAGAATACATATATATAATATATATAACGAAAAAAATATTTCACAGTGATGATTTTACTGTGTGAGAAAATGGATGTGTGGTGTGAGAACGTAATAATACTGTCAATTGCGTGACTCTCACGCCGAATGCATGAGAGTTGGCAGCCCTGTTCTAGTATGAATTAGCGTGTTGTTAACATGATTCCAACACAAACTATAGCATCTAACATTAATTATCATGTTGTTAACATGTTTCTAGCATGAATTAGCCTGATTTAGCACAAATTGTTAGCATGTTTCTAGCATGAATTAGCATGCTTCTAATGTTGATTAGCATGTTGCTATCCTAATTCTAGTATTAACATGTTGTTAACATGAATTAACACGCAACTAGTATGAATTAGCATGTTATTAGCATGTTTCTAACAGTGATTAGGATGTTGTTAGCACTGATTACATAATGAATTAGCATCCCTGATAACAAGAACATTTGGGCCAAATGTGGGTGATAGCTGGCACATGTGGCTGAGGTATGGCATGGTTGAACAGATATGGGCCAGATTATTACCATGTATGTTTTGCCAAACGTTCAGAATAGGCGGGAATTTTCTTCTGGTTCACAGCTCCTTTTTCAGTATGTGGGCCAGTTAACAAAAAACACATAAGAGCCTAGGAAGGCTCAGCTATGGCTGACTTCGATAAACATCGACTTCTGGCTGACTTTGGGATTGCATTTGGAAAACACGTGAAACTGAACACAGGTGTATTGTTAGAAAACATCTGCCACACCACACTTCAGTTGACAAGTCTACACTGCGAGCTTAACATGCTTCCCGCCAGTCATTTGCTTCAGGTAAGTGATAATTTGGCATTTAAAGTGATTTACTTAAATATTAATCAGTATATGTAAAAGTTAGAACTCATTGAGTGATTAGTTATCCATTTAATTAAAAAATGCGTCGAGTTGTATTGTATTTTCCTCTTTGAAGGGGGTGTTTATGTAACGTTAGCGCTCCAACAGTTTGCTGTTTAAATTAACGTTAGGATTAAAGTTATTGCCAATTTTCAATGACCATATGGTTAATTTATTATAGATGAATAGCAAATCACGTTTTAGTTTGGTTTGAAATATTTATAATAAATTTATTTAAAATAAAAGTGGTCCCATTAGGCCTAACATGATAACGAAGCCAATAGAAAAAGTGTCTTATAATTGTAAAATGGACTAACAATATAGATATAACTACTCTGTACAATATAGAGCCAAAACTCAACAACAAACATTTATGAATTAATGAATTTTTGTTGTCTAATGGTCATTTGATATAATAAATGTAATGTAACCGACTTCAATAACCCAGTTTGACCAGCGTGGCGCTTTAACAGAGACAGTTTTCAGCTCTTCTGGGTTCAGTTAAAAAGAAGAAGAGACTATTACTCTAATGAATAACACACTGGACAACAAAAATTAAAACATTTAATCATAGTGATGTGACAATGGCACGATGTAATCTCTGCAATTGTCACTTTGACCACAGTAAATTTATATCAAATTTATACAATAGATTTAAAGCAAACACAAATACAGTGTTGATCCTAAAGAAATAAGAGTGAAAAGTTTTAAATTTATTAAGCTGCTCAAATATAAATGTAAAAATAATATTATCGCATGTGTCAGTAGTTTGGTTTTCAAAGATTAACCTATGATAGCTCTGTTTTGATCGTTTCAACAGTTAAAAGGATAGTTCACACAAAAATGTAGTTGTCATTAATTAATCTTTATTTATTTTATTTATTTCTTCTGTTGAACACAAAATAATGTTTTTTGAAGAAACCAGGAAACCTGTGACAACTGACTTTAGTAGTCTTTGTTTTTCCTACTGTGTAAGTAATTGTTTACAGGTTTACAGCTTTCTTTTGTGTAGCTGTGGAAAGAAACTCATAAAGTTTTGGAACTATGTGAACTTTATTACACATTCAGCTATAACAGTGCTAATGCGAAACACAAAGGCAATGCCACATAAGTGTTTAGGAAGATGGGAAAAATGAAAAATTGAAAAATTTGGTTAAGTGCAAGCCAGAAGATAATTGTTTGTGTTCTATACAATAAAACAGACATGAGCTGAACTAGAACTGCTTTTATTACATGGTAGTCTCCTGCCACAAGTGCCTAGCATCCGGCAGGACAGCGTCCCCACCGGATACAGGTCAATGTATGCTATTACACTGTGTAACATCTCCCTTTCTTTTGTAGCGAAATTAGCTCAGTTTATAAATATTAATAATCAATAACAATGAGTTATTATTAAATATTAACATTCAGGTTTAACCTTTGGTCAATTGGGTTAAACAAATAGATAATTGTATCTGATCCCGCTGCTCGGCCGAGCGGACTCTCAGATTATGAATACTAATTATCAACAATAACGAATTATTGTTATTCATTAATATTCTGCATTAACTTATTAATTTGACCAAATAAATATACCCAGACCTCGCCGCTCGTCCGAGCGGACTCCGTACGGATATACTTTTTTAGAAAGGGAATTCTTACTACTCCTTGTGAGGTAGCTTAATCATTCATAAGTTTTGATTAACTTAAATAGCAGACGGAAGCAAAGGATCTATCATTTCAGTGACCTTTTTCTGTGAGGCAAACAAAAACAATCCAATGCGATTATAATAAGGTTTATTGACTAATCTAACACATATCACACAAACGTAAACTGAGTATAGGAATATATGGGCATAACATATAACAGACAAACGTATACTAATTCTAGATAGGCTATAAACGAATATATGGAACATATAACAAAACCAAAAGAGACAGAAAAGCGAGGAAATACAGAAATTAGATACAGAATGACAATTTCGCTCAGTTCAACCACACATAACGAGAATCACCAGTTGATCATAACACCTTAAAAAGGGGCAGAGCATAAAACGCATATGAAAAATATACTTGCATTTACTCTCTCTCTCGTGTCGTGCGAGCTTTGGTTGATGTGCGGGGGACGTCAGAGATTCAGTAGGAGTTTGTGTGTCCTGTTCAGCTTGGTCCAAGTTGAATGGTCCCACGAGGTGTGAGATAAACTGAGTTTACAAGTCGGAAAACAAAGAAA